GTGGAGACCACTGTACGTAGAGAGTGGGTGATGGGCTGACCTATTATGGCGTTGTACGGGGAGGGAGTTGTGACCACTAAAAAGCCGTGATTGAGCCTTACTATGTTGGGCCAGGCGCCGACCTCCACAGGTACTATGATTCTCCCCAGGGGCCTGACTTCCTCTCCGTTGAAGCCTACCAAGGGAGTACTTGCAGGCTGAAGATCGCTCTCTTGGAGCTCGAGCTTGTTGAATGCCACTTTGAAAACAATGTCTGTCGACCTACCGGAGTCGACGAGGACGCGCTTGACTTCGAAGTCGTTGATCCCTATCTTCACGACGAGCGCGCCTTCATGGGGGTAGTGGACCCTGCGTGCGTCGTCCTCTGTGAAGAAGATCGGGTCTTCTATTCTTGGCCACTTCGGGAGGTTCTGCTCTTCCCTTCCGACCTCGTAAGCTGATGTCCGAGCTGCAGCCAAGGTGCAGCCCGCGACGATCGAGCCTCCAACGATTACATGTATGGTCCCCTGAACTGGTCTGTCTTCATGAGGTTGCCTTTGTGGCTGCTTGGTTTGCCTGCTGCTGGACTCGGGAGCATCTTTACTTTGCTCCTCCTGCCGACCTGCTTTATTATTATTATTTTGTACAAAATTTCTCAAGTATCCGCGATGGATGAGCTCTTTTATCTCATCGCGGAGATTCTTACAATTTTCGGTACTATGACCGTGATCTTTATGAAAACTACAATACAAATTCTTATACTTGGTATTGGGGTCCCCTTTCAGTCGGGGTGGCCACTTCACATATGAGGCGCGTCTTTGATCGCCATAAGGATTTCGGCCCGTTTCGCATTCAGAGGTGTATAGTCCATCCTTTCTGTTGGTGGGGCTCGGAAAGGCTGACTTGGCTTTGCCCCCCGAGCCGAGTCTTTTTTCTTCTTACTGTCCCCTTGGATCAACTCACCTTCCCTTTTCCTTTTCTCTAGCACACCTTCATTTTTCTGGTTGATCTCCTCCTCCGTCCCTATGAACCGGTTCGCGAGCATAAGGAACTTGGTGACAGTCTTCGGCTGGTTGACAACTACGTGCCACCTGAACTCTTTGTGGGTGATGCCCCTCTTGGCTGCTGTGAGCTGTACTATAGGGTCCAGGTCGGGTATCTGTAAACAAGCGTCATTGAACCGCTAGATGTAACTTCGGATGGACTCCCCTTCTCTCTAGACAATGCTAAGGAGCCTTTCTTTGCTTCTCGAGCAATGCTTGCTGGTGACAAAATGTGAGGTGAAGACCTGCACGAACTGCACCCAGCTTTTTATTGACTCGGGCACGAGGTTCCTATACCATATGTGGGCTACCCCTTTGAAAGTGGTGGAGAATGCCACACACATGCAGGTCTCACTGGCCCTTGCCAAATGCATCTACGACTAGAAGGCGTCGACATGGTCATTTGGGTCGAACGACCCATCATATTTGTCCAGGGGAGGTAATTTAAAGTCTTTAGGCATACAGACGACAAGAAGTTCTAGGGATAGGGGGGACGGAACCGAGAGGAGCGGAGTGGCTTTCACTTTGTCTAAGCTCACCTCTTCTTTGCCTTTGAGCTCGGGCAGGTTGTGAGTGGCAGTTCGGCGAGATCGGCGGTGCCTCCGCTGTTTCTTTGCTGGCTCGACATTAGTGCTGTTGGCTTCTGTGTTGCCGAGTTCGATGGCCCCAGGGAGGGGCTCAAATTGCTGCTGGTGGCTATGAACTGAAGGGCCTTGCCTATAGTCCGCGGTCAGGACCTTGAACTGGTTCTCAGTGAGCGGAAGCTCGAACTGTGAATGCTAAGGCGATGCAGGTCTGACTGGATGAGAGGCCCTGGACTTGACTACAGGTTGCAAGGTAGGGGTAGCTGGTCTCTCCTTCCTACCGTGGGATGAGACTCGACTCTTGGGAGGATTCCGAGTTTGGGAGGTCTCTCCCCGGCGAGAAGGACATTCGTTTTGATGACAAAGCCCGACTTGCTGTGTGGCCGGATGTCGAGAAGGAAGCGGTTGCCGGGTCTGGGGCAGCGGAGGAAACTGCTACTGGTAGTGGTACTGAGAAACTTGGTGTAACACTTGCTGCTGGTAGAGTTGAAACTGTTGGAACTGTTGCATTTGAGCCTGCATAGCTCGCATGCATTGCACCAGGTCTTCAAGCTGGTTTTGGCTGGTCGCTAGAGGAACAATGGAGGGTTCGGTGAAGGTCGTTCTAACTGAGAAAGGGAGTGGAGCGTTCACGGGTGCCATTGTTTGAGGCACATTCAGGATGGGAACTCCATCCACAAAGAGGGGGACGGTGAACTGTCCAATATACACCGCTGGGAGTGGAGTTATTCCCCGACGGCGTTCACTTCTGCACTGCGTGCGGCATTGCTGGAGGAAGCCATGAGAACTTAAGTCTACAAGTTTGGTGGAAGAAGGCTTTTTGAAGTGGATTCCCACAAACGACGCCAAATGATGTATCCTAACTGGTAGGGGCCTTGCTCCTATCTGGCAATGGACAACACCTGAGAAGGAGAAGAAGACAAAGGATTCCCGGGTATCTCGCCCGACGGGAACACTCCGATGCTTAAGTTAGAATTCGGTAGAGAGCTTAGAGAGTGGTAATCAGCTAAGAGTGGAGATGCGCACTTACTTCTGTCTTGGGGGTCGAGACCTTATATATTAATGCTATGCCAAGTCGGCTATAACCACCTCTTATTCTTTGCTACAGTCGTATTTTCCAGGGTTGATACGATTGGCGCAGCTATCCGTCGCATGGTACCGTCTTGTCAGTTGAGGGACGTTTCTCAGATCTGGCATGTATGATGCCGCCTGACGAAAGACGTGGGTGCAGTCCCCTGGACTGGCAGGTGTTGCGCTGCCAGACGAGAGACATGGGAGTAGTCTGACGGGCACGGTCTTGTCGGATAAGAAGTTTCTTGAAAGCTCCAAGTTGCTCAATAGCGAGCTCCCTTGTAGCGAGCTCCCTTGTAGCGAACTCCATTGTAGCAAGCTCCAATAGCGAGCTGCCTTGCAACAAGCCGTTTGGTAGCGAGCTGTTTTGATGGGATCTGAGCTCGTTATGCCGAATTGTGGCCAAGCTATCATGCTGAGCTGTCAGTTACTCTGAATCATATCCACGTGTCGCCTAATCAGGAGGTTGGGTCGAATCACCCTCCATCATCTATCATGACCAATAAATACAATAAAGGATATCCTGGTGCTAGATATTATGGAGGAAACGAGTAAGTAAATACCCCCTCCCCAATTTATCTCTATTGTCCATTTATGGTTTATCCTTTATTTTCAGATTTCTTGGTTGGATCTGATATCAAACTGTGTAAACTGCACCCTCCAGGTACATTGACATGGTAGAATCCTTATGCCAGAAGCGTGCCTTTGAAGCATTTCGGTTGGATCCTGCAAAATGGGATATTGTGCTGTTTGAAGCCTTTGTTTCAGTGTCTACAATAGGCCAAGTAGTTCTCTATCTATAGTTTATGTTATTTTTTAACTAACCTCCTGTGTGGAATGCTTAGCTTACTTTATTTCCTGCAGTTATTGTGCAATCGCTATCTGGGTCCCCTGCTAATTTCCAAGTATACACTGCATTGTTGAAACCTCATGAAAGAGTCATGGCACTTGATCTTCTACATGGTGGACATCTTTCGCATGGCTATCAGGTGCTTATAACATTCCATTTTTCCCAGCTAAATTGGAAATATTAGTTTGCGTCCTAGAGATTAGTGCAAATAATATTGTCTAGTGCTGTTGTGTGGACTAAACGTCTTCTAAATCTATCTTACTGGGTATAACTTGCTCAAAGGAGGTTACCTGGCCACTTTGTTTTTCTAAAATCCTATTATGTCTTGGTTGTGTGTTAACCATCTGATACAAGTGACCAACTTCATTTAAAGCAACTACTTGAATTTTCTTTAACTAAATTTTTCTTTGTAACGCAGCCAGCCCTCCTATTAATGGGGAATATTTGATTGAACAGATTTGGCCAAAAAAAGGTTCAAGTTAGCTTGTAAAATCTGGAAGTACTTAACTATACCTAGGAAATACCTGAAACGGAAATGACATGAAAATTCCAAGTGTACAATTAAAGGATCATAAATAATCAAGAGTTTATTTAATATCTTATTGTTCTGAATGAATTCAACCATTAAATACACTAAATGATTTCAAGGAATTATTTTCCATTTCAGACACTGAACTGTTACTGGTCGTAGTATATTCTTGATTGTGATTTGTTTATTGTAAGTTTCATTTTGTCTTTTGGTTTTATGCAGACTGACACCAAGAAGATATCTGCTGTCTCTATATTCTTTGAGACAATGCCTTATAGATTGAATGAAAGTACTGGATATATAGCATATTATCATTGACTAATAAAAAATTTATAGGCATACCTAGGGTGGCAACGAGCCGAGCTTTTCACGATCTGTTTAAGCTCGGTTTGTCTCGGTTTCAATTAAGTTCGAGCTCGAGCTTGAACCCAATTCACTGGCCCAATTATGAAACAAGCCGAGCTTGAGCCTACTAGAACTCGTCTCATGAAGTTTGCGAGCTGGCTCGAATATATATATATATATATATTTTATAATTATTAATTATATATTTTATTATATATATATATATATAATAAAATTATAAAAAATAATATATAATAAAAATATTATAATTATTAATTATTATAATTCTTATTTTTTAATATTAAATAACAAATATTTTTATATATAATTTTTTATTTTTATAAAATATTTTTTCTCAAAATTGAGCTCGAGCTTATGAATTTTTGAATCAAGCTGAGATTGAGATCAAGGTTCTAGCCCGAACCGAGCTCAAACCTCATACTATTCGAGTTGGCTCGACTCGAATCCACCCCTAGGCATACGTCACTAAATCTGACACTTTGAGAAAGCATGATACTGGATACATATTGATACCAAATACTTTTAGAAACTCATAAGCTATGAGACAGCACATCAAGATCTAAACAGGCTATGAGACCGCATCGCATCAGCTGCAATCATGCGCCCAATTCTTATTTTCCATTGTTGGGTTGCCACGATTATTTGCTGTAACTGTAATCAATAGATTTAGAATACCTAATGTTTATATGATTCCCATTTTGATTTTCAAGTATTGATGGAGCACAACAGGCAGTAGTTCACCATTATACACCAAAAGAGCTTCAGGGGCTTCTCTGCCATGCTCACGCCAGAACAATTAAAGAAACTTTCTGGTAAGATTGACTTGAGTTTATTTGGGAAAGGCTTAATAACATACTAAGATTGTAAAATAAATTATTCTCTTATTGCTGATCCACCCCATAACCAATAGTTAAGTACCGATGCTGCAGAGATTGAATCAGTTGTTTTCGTCTTCGAGAGCCGGACATATCATCTTCAGACCACACATTTTTGGGAGTTCTTGGGAGTTGATTCTATTCACCAATACAACCAATTTCCCCTTGACATGAAGTCGGATATTATCATTGGTGTCATTGACAGTGGTAAACTAAAGGCTCTTTATGTAAATATTTTATTTATATGTGCTTAATTATTTCTTTTAACTATCATCATCATCTGAGCTTTTGGCTGCTGTTGATGGTCTCTCTCTCTCCTCTTTCTCTCTATACCGGTGCTTATTTGTTTTTTTTTTTTGGATTTAATTGACAGGAATTTGGCCTGAATCAAAGAGCTTCAATGGTAGAGGCTTAGGGCCTGTGCCCAAGAGATTTATGGGAGAATGTGTCACTGGTGATCATTTTACATTGGCAAACTGCAACAGGTAGTATGTGTGAATACTTGTTTAAGTTACAGTGTTGAAGACTGATCACGATATACCATCTTGCAGTCTTGCCTTCTCTTTCTGTTAATTTGCTTTTTTGCTGCAAATTCTAGCTAGTTCTATGATTAAATCCCATCAAACTTAATTATAAACTGCGAATCCCATCAAGATCTTGAGTATTGGGTTTTTTGTGGGCAATTAGTCAGCCTATTGGAAATGGCAAATGAAAACATCATCTTGGGAGAATAAAATGATTAGTTGTCATCTCACTGCATTGCCAACACTTTTTTTCCATAAAGTTTCCAGAATATAACTTTTACTTTGCGGATGATGGAGGGAAAAAGCCAGAGGTACAAGGTATTCCAGAAGATATTATGCTTTTTCTGGAGGAATAAAAGTGATGTAGATGGATTTCAGTGGGCATCGAATAAACCCTACTTCCAGTACAGCTTCTTGCATTGGATACAAGAACTCTAGGAGTCCGGTTAATCTCTTTGTTTTCCCATATGTATACCTGATGTTAAGGAATCCTGCCATCTGTTTTCAACTAATAAAATTCTGTTTACCATTTATAAAAAAAGAAAAAAGGCATCTACTCTGAGCCAGTATATGATAGAATGATACCATTAGAAACAGTAATTAGTCGCAAGCACGAGACCAATCCATAAAGCACAAGAAAATGAAGAGCATTCCCCAAACCCAGGACTTGTGACCATTCATAGGTCTAGAAGGCTACTCTATTTGGACAATCCTAGAATTCCATAGAAATAATCCACTCTTCATTATCAATAATTTTGCATCTTTGCAGAATTTGGCTTACTATGATCTTGTTTTATTATTCATTGTAACAAATTCCAAAGAAATCTCTCTAAATTTCAGGAAATCTACTGACTGGTTTACTCAATGAGAAACAAAATGATTTTGAAGAAAAATACAGAAGGTGCTTAAATATGACAGATAAGGTATCCATCCTTAGCAATAGGAAAGTACTATAGCATATATTATATCATGAATTTTTGTGGTGTAAACTCTATCTTATTTTTGAATGTCTTTATTCCTATTTTTTCAACAGTATATGGGGTCATAAGAGCTGGTTTTCTAGTTTCACTCTGTTGTTCTAGCAATAAATCATCTTGAAAATCTGTTTTTTCTAGCACATACATACAATTATGTGTTTCATTAGACCAAGGAACAGGGGAATGTCCAGAGAGAAAATATCAAGAGGAGCATACTCCCCTTGTTGGAAGCAGTAGAAGTATTTGTCCGATTACTTGGACTTCTGATCATTCGGTTACTGTAGCAGGTAGAAAGACATTAAGTTGCTCTTTTCCTTCTGGTAAGACCATTTACAATTATGTAGATTGAGTTGCTCTTTTCCATATAGGTATATTATCATTATTTTAACTGCACAACTGTGCAGAATCAAAGATTGCAATGGTTGGAAGATGGAAGGTCAAGTCTATGAAAGCTTATTTCTAGTGGTTTCTTCTTTAGCTTGTCAAGTCATTGAATGCCTTCTTCCCCTCCCCTCTTCTTCTTTTTGACTCAAGGCTGGACAAAGGAAAGCATTATTTGATGCCATCTTCAAGGCTGTTGGAAAGATCAATATAATAGTAGAAGACGTGGTGGTATATAATAGGCATTATTTGATGCCATCCTTAATCTCAGTCTGTGAAGTCAAACCCTGGTGGTATAAAATTAAAATTGTGTTACTGTTTACAAAATCCTGAGTCAAGAACATGTACATATAAGATTTACATTCCTGTGGTCCCTTATCATGGTTCAGAATGTAGGGGTGTTTTAATATTATAGCATAATGAGCTTACTACATCTTTCATAACCATCCCCCCCCCCCTAATTTTCCTTCCATGTATTTGATGAAAAACGGAAACAAAGTTTTCTTCTATAATCATTGTTTTGTCAAATTTATCTTTCCATATATTTGATGGACGTGCATAAGGTCCAAGTGTCAAAGGTTTCAGATAAAAACTGTCAGCATGAGATTACTAGTGTTTCTTTTCAAGGAGTTTCTTAACTAAAAGCAATGCGAGATGAGAAAAGGTATCATTAAATATATATCAAATAATTCTTGCACTTGTCTTTAATATTCTTTAACCAATTTGTTATAACAGGGAATAATCACAGAGGATGTAGTTCAACTAAGGAAAGCTATTGGTGCACCTGGAATGGCTGTTCTCCAGAGAAGTAAAACAGGTCTAAGAAATTCTAATTAACTATGAGTTGATAGCAAGAAAGTGTGAGAGAAGTTCAGAACAAGAGAAAGAAAAAAGGTGGAAAGAAAAAGTTGGAAACACGAGGTTGCTATTAGCCGGTACGATCAGTACAAGTGGTTGGAAACACGAGGAGTGGAAGAAGAGAGTTTGGTTCAATTCAGACTCTATTGAATTCTTGTACAAATCAAGAATTTATCAAATTGAAATTAAGATGTATTTGTAATTCAAATATTTTTGAATGGAGAATGGTTTTTTAAATTTTGTTGTAATTGATGTTTTTTTTCTTTATTATTTTGTATCTTATTCCGGTTTAAATGAATATAGAGAAAACAGGTAATTTGAAGAAAATTAAAAAAAATGTTATTTGAAAAAAAAATAAGTACACTTTTAGTAATAGTTTAACATTTATACGGGCAGCCGCGAAAACTGCCGCTAGAACGTCTAAAGACAGTTCTTTTAGCAGTAATTTGTCGGCTGTCGGTAAAGACTATAGTGGCAGTTTTAGGGACTGCCGCTAAAAGTCATTTTTCTTGTAGTGATATAGACTCAAATGTTCCAACCAAATCGTTAGCCTTCGAACCTCCACCCACGGACAAGTGGATTTTTTTGGTTGATGGCTAATTCGAAGGTTTTGGTGGAGCCTTTAAGGACCAAAAGTCCAGAGGCATGCACCTACTATCCTTCCTCTAATTTAGTAAAATGAGACTCTAATACTATTTATATGAGAGTGTGTAAATGTGAGTTTTCAAGCATGCAAGAGAGATAAAAGGACAATAAAGAATAAGGTGGGAATAAAACCTCATGTTTAAGTTTACAAGTAATCCTATAAGTTTCTAGGTGGCCACATTTGAGGATCTTAGAGAAGCTAAGTTCTTTTAATTCTTGTTAAAAGAATCTAAAGATAGAAAGGAGTGCAATGTGGTAACAAGGTGTGAGGAAGGTAGGTGAGTGCAATTATAACTATGATGAAGGTGTTCTAAATTGTGATGGGGATGTTCTAAGGTGTGACAAAGGTGTTTTTGTGGTGTGATGGAAGCTTTCTAAGGTGTGATGGAAGATTTTTAAGGTGCAATTTTGGACTTCCAGGTTGTGATGGAATTAGACGAAGTTGGGATTTTGACATTTTGGATTGCGATGGTGATGAAATAAAGTGTGATTTTGATGTTATGGGTTGCGATGGTGAAGAAAGAAAGTGCGATTTTGATGTTTTAGGTTACGATGGTGATGAATGGAGCTATGATTTAGCTAATGGAGGTGCAATGAGGTTAAAAAAAGGTACGGTTTCAAACTGTTAGGGAGGTTTGTTGTACTAAGATGCAATTTCAACTCACTAGGCGTTGTTGAGATGCAATTTCAAATTGCTGGAAAGGTCTATTGCACCAAGCTTATCTGATACGTACATGATTTCAATTTGCATTCCAATAACCATTAAACTTTCAAGTCTTAACAGTGTACAACAACTAGGTGCGCAATTGAGCCCAAACGACTCCTAGTAAAGGTCCTAAACACAAATCCCCAATGGGGTCACTAGTTGTGAGCTACGGGAATCTCATGGTTGACTCAAAGAAATGGAGTTGTAACCCATTTATCAGATAAAATGGGCCCTTACTTTTAGATTCTAAAAAATTGACTCTATGCCTTGATAGTGACTTTGTCCTTAACCGGGAAAGACACTTAACTGAGAGTTTTTGGGTTCCAAGTAATTGGAAAAGGGAAAGTATTAGGCACCCCTTCACCAAGCTGCTATAGCAACCCAACAAAGGAATGGTTTAGGCTCAAATTCTAAAGAAAAAACAGTGAAAATGATTGCTAAAATTCCTACAATCTTGTGAAACGCTTGTGGCTTCTTCCGAAACCAATCTGAGGTGATGGTATTGGGTTTTAGGCACTAATTTCCCTAAGACCCTTACCTCTTTACCTCTTTTTCTTAGTTTGGAAGCTAGGAATGCGAGTTTCCCATGGTTTCAGACTTCCAGCAAACTAGAACTAGATGAAAAATAGAGATTACGACTTCTAGTTCAAATAACAAAATGAGAGGCTTACCTCTTGTGTACAACCTTGAGGGGAGCTTTCTGGCAGCTATAACAAGTTCAAATAAAGCTTGGATGAGCAATTAAGTTGGGGAGAGTTCTTCTGATCAGAAATCTTTAGTCTGAAAGCAGGAGAGGCAGATTTAAGGCTTAAGATTCATAGGCTTTGGGATTTCAAGTAAAATGGAGGCATTGCAGAGGCTAGGGAAAATGTTCTTTATGTTGTTTGCCCTTCCTCAAGCTCAAGTTGGGCTACTATTTATAGAGAAAAGGAGGGGAAGAGATTTGAAATTCATTCAATCAAAAGGTTTGGGCTTCAAGAGAGCTTTTACATGAAAATGGGAAAGGATTTTTCAAAGAAAATGGTGTTCAATCAAACTTTCCTCTTTGGTGAAAGGTTTTCTTCGATTTAGGGGTGGTTTTCATAGGTATTATACATCCAATGGGATCTTAGGGTGTGCCAAACGTTGTAGTATCGTATTTGGGGCTATCAATGGCATAAAATATAAATTTAAGCCACTTATAAATGCTATTTTGTCTTTTCTTAGATTTAAATGGAGGTATCTTTGAGTTTTGGGGCTTTTTGGGTCTATTAGGCTTAATTTCGTTACTCCATGTGTTTAAACAGGTTAAGAATGGGTTTAACATTAGCCATCACCCTTTTAAGTTTTTAAGTTGGGATAGATGATGTAGCGATTTAATTTGGTGTGTCAAAATGGTATATTTCTAGTTCACTTGTCAAATGAGTGAACTTAGCATGAAATTTGATGTACTGGGGAGTTTTGGGTCTCTGAGCATAATGGTAGATCTAATTGGTGGGATGATAGAGATCTAAGGCTGAAAAGTTTAGATCTACGAGATTTACTGAAATAAAATCATCACTTGATAAAGGATCAAAGGAGGAATTTTGGGATGAGATCTGGTGGGTAAGCACTTTTGAACGTCTTAAATCTGTTGAAAGCTACGAATCTTTGATCAAAGGTGTGGATTAACTTATTTAGTGGTCAATGGTTTACCAATTAACGAAAAAGCTCGAAATAGAATCTCACTTTTTTAATAGTTAAATGGGGAAGCTTGGTCATGAAATTTGACATGCCAAGGTTTTTTAGATCTTCGAACGTAGTAATGAGGTCTGATTAGTCAAATGAAGTTGGGATGTTGGATGATAAGCTCTAATTAATGAAATTTGTTAAAATAGGATCTAGGTTTGATGGTAGATTAAACAGGGAAAATCTGAGCTGAAATTTGGTGGGTAAGCATAGATTAAAGTGATGAATCAAGTGGATGGTTCTGATATAAGAAAGAAATGGTAGATCTTGGAATCGTTCATGGCCATCAAAATAAGATCTTAGTATTTTCGTTAGTGATTGTCATAGATTTATGATGGGATTTGCTAATTGATTGTATCGTAATGATCTTGAGGTGATGGATGTGTTGGATTTGATTTTGGGGAGTCAGAGTTTGAAAGTCGCATAGATCGGGCATGTTAGAAAGGAAGTTGGCATGGCAAATGGTGGATCTTTGGAATTTAGTCATCAAAATTAACATATAATTAAGATATAATTTCCCAAGTCTGAGGGTGATGTCTGATCGAATGTTGATGTTGATCTCAAGATTTTTATTTGTCTTGTGGATTGTGTCATAGTAGGGAATTTTCGGTTTTAGAAAGTCTCAAGTAGATCTGGTTGTGTTTTCAAGTTTTGGGGTCTAAAAGAAGGGTTCAAAGAGGTAGGATAAAAAGACTGAGTAAAAATTGGTTGATGACACCAGGTCTGGCCCAACTTGTAAATTTGAAGGCCCAGACTCAAGTTTTTGTGTGCAAGTTCGACTTAGGCCTGAGCCCACAACCCAAAAAATTCTAGGCTAGGTTTGAGCCTTACCCAAAGTATAATATAATATATATTTTTAAATATATAATGTATATAATATCCATATTTTTATATATTATAAAATATGTTATATATACACAAATATATTTTATTTTTATATTAAATACTTATTATTTTATATAAAATATAAAACTTTTAAGTTTTATTTTGAAATATAAATAAATATTTATGAATTAACATGTGTCAATACATGTGTCCACACTTAACCAATTCAAATATTAGAATTGTCCTTCCTAAGCGAGGCTTAGGAATGATAAAGACAAGCATAAAGACTTTAAATTATAAAGGATGGCAAAGACAAGGATGTACACTAAAAATCTACTTACCCCTCAAAAATCTATACAAAGGATGTACCATTTGCTCATAATTAGAAAATGAAGTCCAGCGGATCCTAAAAATCAACGGAACTTGAGAAAAGGAAGACTATTACCATCACTCTTGATAAGATCCTGGGCGTATGTGGGTAAGCTATCCAAACTATCAAAAATAATTTGTTGAGAGCTAGGCTCCCAAGCTTTGCAAGAGCATAACTTCCCTATGAATATGTACACAACATATATCCACTGTTTCCATGATTTCCTAAATCTGAACATGCCAATACAAAGAAACTAAGGGGCAGCACAGGCACCCCGAATTATATCAATTAATGTTGCTGAATCCAACTCTACCATAATTCTTTTCAACCCCAACGCTGAAGTGAGAAGCAACCCTTCCAGTAAAGCTTTTGCTTCAGCTACCAAGTTTATATTGTGCCCAAAGTAATTAGAAAATGCACTAATAAAAAACCATTGCTTCCTTTTCTATTCAAACCTTCTCCTTTATTGGTTTATTATCATTAATATAATATTAGTTTATTAAATTATACCATAGATAACAATTATATAAGGGTTGGGCACAATATAAACTTGGTAGCTGACTGTTGATAAAGAGGCAAAATGTAGTCCATGAACAGATCTATTTGACACCAGCTACTGAAGACCTGCATAAGTCAACTGATGAATTCAATATCTTGAACATTGAGCACAACACATATCAAGAGGAGAGGGCCAACCTCATGCCCCTTTTGCTATACAGATATATATTGGATTAGATTAGATTATCATTCAACTCCTAAGCTAGAGCAATCAAATATTGCGAGTTGAGACCCAAAGAAAACTCGGCATGCCACTTGTTCAGTTGTTCAATCAAAAGTCAAAACTGATTTAGAGCCTCAAGCCCACACTAGATTAATTCTATAGACTTCTAGGCACCAACAATCCCCATGACACCAAACTAAAAACTCCAAATAGGAAACCAAATGGATAGGGATTCCCTTGTAAAGAGCAAGGCTGAACTTATGTTTGGATGACGAAACAAGACACAAGAACTCATTTGGGTCTGACCATGGCCCACCATCTCACACCAACCTCACAGCATTTTTAGTTGTTATCATTTACAGAGAGATGTTACTAATACACAGTTATGATGTGCTGTAAAGTTGGCGAGAGGCACCACCAGCTCAATTCCCCTTTTTAGAATTCCACCGGTTCAACTGGCAAGTGCTGAAAAGAATCTCCCACTACTACAACTACAACCAAGGTTAGTTTTTAAAACTGATCCAGAGATTGAACCGGTCAGGGGTCTGGTTCTCGGGTTGAACGATGGGCCTGTTCTGACAAAAAAATTAAAAAATTAGAAAACGGTCAAAACCGTTCGAACAGTTAATCACCCAGGTCAATGGTTTTTTGACCAAAATCAACAGTTTTTGGAAAAAATCCAGTTTTAGTGAAAAACGGAACCGATCAATCCGGTCTGATTTTGAAAACCATAACTATAACTATGGCAAATAAGTATTTTTCCAAAGTTGAAGTTGATCATTTGGACTTGGTACACATATTGTTGCAATTTATAATGCTTGGCTTTGTTTATTTGGAATGCAAATCTGAACCAGATACAAATTTTGCACCGGGCTCAGCTTTGCATCCATTTGCTTGTAACTATATTTCACTTCTGTCTGCTGCAAAATTTGTAATTTTTGTCTTCATCACTTTCCTCTTACCTAAATTCTCTCTCGTATAAAGTGGGGATCACATAGTTTTGTCTCTTATCTTACTCATCTCAAACAAATAGCCTTCCTAACTTCATTCATGCCTTCATTTTTTTCACACATAAAGAGGGGACCAAATTTTATTCGTTTCTCCAAAACAAGCAGGACAAAGTGAAGTCAGAAACAAAAGTATACCAGAATTTGCACTTTCCCACATTTACACTAGTGCAAATGAAATTCAAATTACAAACAAACCAGGCCTGGGTGATTTGAAAGGCATGAATGCAATTTGTTTCGGCTTTTCAAAATGTGTACCCTAGTGTACAAAACTTGTCCCTTTGAAATGACATTTTATGTATGAATCCTCATTGTCTTAATGGTGAGACATTTTATGTCTGTCTTAGCTAAATGGGCTTAAGGATGTAGTCTATCTTACATACTTTCGTTTTTTATGGAAATTCCTAATGTAATAGAAAGTTTCACATGTAATTCTATATTGAAATTGAAAAAGGAGTATTCAGATCTACTACCCACACCTACCTGTAGTGTCATCTAAACACCCCTTTTTCAATTTCAATATAGAATTACATGTGAAACTTTCTATTACATTAGGAATTTCCATAAAAAGACAGTATGTAAGATGGACTACATCCTTAAGCTCATTTAGCTAAGACAGACATAAAATGTCTCACCATTAAGACAATGAGGATTCATACATAAAATGTCATTTCAAATGGACAAGTTTTGTGCACTAAGGGTACACATATTTTGAAGAGTCGAAACAAATTGCACTCATGCCTTTCAAATCCTCTAGTAGAAGTGAAGCATTTTCCAATATTTGAAGCTTTCCATTAAGTTGCATCGTTGGATTCATGAAATCTGCTGCAAACATATCAGCAAATGCGCCATGTAAATCAGGATCCTTTCTGTGGCAGAGTCAAAAATCCCTTCAACAATTAGAGCAGTTGGGCTGTTCTCGATCGTTATAAACATTTGTTATTCTATACGTACCAATTGCAATTCCAACTGGGTTGGTGAGGGAGAAAAAATGTATCATAATTGCAGTGGCTCGGTTCTCAATTTAATTTGCCTGTATCATCAGTTCAGCCATGGAACAAGAATTAGTGTCTCATAATTTAATAGTACATACCCCAAATCGTTCTTTATAAGTCTATACATTGAACTCATTAATTCAAAGCCTGACCCACCCCCAAAATGCTAAGTAATTGAAAGACTAACTGATGAGGATTTAATACTCAAATTGATGCATATACCAAGGGAAAGACTAACTGAATCAATGAACTGCCATTAATTTGATACCTGATCAGTTGCCAGAGTAACGCCTTTTGCAAACGCCTTGATCATAAAGAAGATATTCCTCCCTGGATGCGAAGTCGGAATGGCTCGAATACACACCCCAATTGCACTAGCAGTCAGAATGGATGCTACTACTGGAATACTCTTTCCAAACTGAGCCTAAGGGCTTTACTTTTGTCATGTCCGGTGTCTTCTTCAGGGACGTCGGATGTGCACTCACCGGAGGCTAAAGATAAGATGGGAAGGAGGAACAGTTGGGGTAGGGTGAAGACTGTGAAGAACATGGATGAAAATGTAAAGGGTTGGGAGCTAGCTTATTCATGGTGAGATGAGAAGGAGAGATAAGTAGAAGATGCTGGTGGCACCAATCTGAGAAGTGATTGATATATATAGAGAGAGGGCATTTTAATTTTTATTGTGAAAAGAACTGAAAATGGCTTATGGGTGTGGGTTTTAGAATTAGCTAAATATTATAGAAACGTGAGTATGAGTGTCAGAGTGTGGGCTATTACTTGAATCAGTTACATGTAGCTTTAGCATTTGTGGAAAAACTGAAAATGGCTAATGGGTTAGGATTTGACGAGTAGAATTAGCAGAAAAGTGAGTGTGGGTGTGGTTATTACTTGAATCAGTTACACATAGCTTTAGCTTTTGTGTCAATGGGCAGAACCTTTTACTCTCTATTTGATTTTAACTTTTTATTTGGCTTCTCACCAATTTTCTTTTTTTTTTTTGCGTAAATAACTGAAACATTCCTTAAAGTTTTGGATCATTGCTTAAACTTCCTCTGAAGTTTGTTAATTGCAATTATCTTTCTTAAATTTCTTGACACATTGCAAGTAAACCCCTTTTGTTAGAATCCTTTGAAAAGAGGCATGAAAATGTCCGAAATACTTATGGAGTTACTATTGAGGTTGGCTTCTATAAAAAACAATACAAATTTAATGAAAAATGTGAAAAATTGCAATTTTACCATCGAATGATTGATATTAAGGCGGTGTTTGGAAATGATGCAAAAAGAATGTGAATACAAATATAAAGAGTGTATTTTGGTCCATATAAATGCAAAGTTGGGTTATTTTTACATTGACAAATTTACTTTCGTACTAAACAACTTTTAATTGTATCTGATGGAAACACAAATCCTAATAACGTAGTATGCCTTTTTTAACAAAAGACCACTTTGAATGCAAATTTACCTTTTTTTTTCATTGTAAAATTACATCTAAACATGGTTGGAAATTGTGTTTCTATCATTGTCAATGCATAAATGCATTCTTGCCAAACACTAGCAAAACTGAATCAAAATGCATATATACAACGAACTGATATTTACACTCTATTTGCACCGTTTCCAAACGCAGTCTAAGGGAAATTTTGGAAAAGAGAATGGATGGATTGGGGGTAGCAATTGATATAAAGAGAAAAATTTGAAAATAAACATATAATTAAAAAGTAATTAATTGCATGAATATTTTGGTCATTTTCATGTATCTTTGTAGAGAATTCTAAAAGAAAGGGTCTATTTATAATATCAGAAAAAAGAGAAATGATTACAATTAACAAACTTTAAAAAAAATTTCAGCAACCATTGAGGAGGTTTCAGCAATTTACGTTTTTCCTTTTCCCTTTTTGTTTGGTGATGATTGGCCTACATCGCATGACTTGATGTCGACATTATGTTATCATTGTTCGGATAGGCCCTACCCCTTGATATGCATATCTTTGACATAATTGGATTATTTTTTAAAGGGAGCTCAAACGAGTAAAGCTAATTATCTGAAACCCGCCTTACCAATGACCTCGTAGTTGAGTTGTCGGTTCGCACCTGCAAGCACTATATGGTATGACCCGTTAAAGAACTTTCGTTCCCAATTATAAAAAAGGGAAATTGTCTGATTCATGGTGGATGACAAGTGGCGAATCATACCCTTTCATTTTTTATATTAGGGGCAAAAGTCAGCTCATGGCTAGAACCTTAGTGATCCTCATCTACACACTACTTTTTCCCCACCTTTTTATTCCCTTGTAATTACGGGTCGCCATGTCGAGTCTTTCACAAGTTATTCAAGTTCGACTCTGAAAAGTTCAGCTCAGTTCGGTTTAAATTGAGCTTCGAACTAAATTCAAGCCCAATAAAATTTGGGTCGTGAGGCTTGTAAATCTAGTATTAAATAAATAATTTTTATTATACGTGCATATATATATATATATAAATATATATAATAAATAATTTTATCATATATAATAATATTTTTATTTTTTATATATAGTAGTAAATAAATTTTATAATTCTTAATTTTTGTCTAAAAAATGAAAAAAAAAATTATTTTGTACGTATAACTTTTATTTTTCAAATAAACTTAGCTTATAGCCGAGCTCAAGCCGAGTCGAGCTTGAACTTGTGAGCTATGAACTGAGCTCGAGCTCGAATTCAAGTCTCTACTTCGAATCGAGCTCGAACCTGATACTATTCCTACAAGTCGAGTTCAAATAACTAAATATTTGCCTCGACTCGGCTCGAATCCACCCCTACTTATAATGTGTAACTAGATCTGTTCATGGGCCGGGCCGGGCTTTTACTGTGTATTAACAAATTTTTTTAAGGCTCGAGCCCGAGCTCGGCCCGACCATTGGGCCTACAATTTGGACCCGAGCCCGGCCCTCATAAAAAGCCCGAAGCCCAAGCCTGGGCCCGGGCCCGAAATTTAGCCTATATTATTATTATTATTAATGTTGAAGCAGCTGAATAAAGAGAGAGATAGATTGAAATTATAAAGAAAAGAATAAAATATATATATATATATATATATTAAATTATAAATATATATTTTAATAAATATTATATTATTTATATATTTTATATTATATATAAAATACATATTATATATTTTATAAAATATATAATTTTGAGTCGGGCCGGACTTTTTTGAAAAATCCCGAACCCGACCCGAAACACAGTCAGGCTTATTGTGTTAAGCCCGAGGTCATGCCTGCGGGCCTAATTATATGACCAAGCCCGGCCGGGGTGCGGGGCGGGCCGAGCCGGGCCGTCGGGCTACCCTGCCCATGGGCAGGTCTATGTGTAACTAAGAGAGTGATGAGGACAGGGATTTTTATTGAAAACTAAAAGTGAATTGCTGCACATATAAAAATTGTAGGAAACATGCTAAAAAATGCGAAAAGATGTTTAGTGATCTTCAGTTTGGTTTATTGATAAGGTGCTTTAATCAAGCAGCAATAAAAGGGTTGGAGACATGTGAAATAGAATTGTATTGAAGCAGGCATGTGAAATAGAACAATAGAACATGGTCTAGAAGAACGGATTTTTTTTTTTTTTTTGACTTTTTACCATTGCAGCGTTGACAGGAAAACCTAGGAAGATTGGCCTATAAACATTTTAATAGGCAAGCATGTTAAACTTATTTGAATTGTATGTGGAAATTTAGTTTTTATTTCATACAGTTATTTATCTGGGCTTTTCAACATTTTTTTAATTTCAGATAACAACCTTCAACTTTTATTGCTAATTAATGAATGTAATTATTGGAGTATTGCTTTGGAGGCTCAACAATGATTTTGTACGGTTTCCAAATACATGTATGTATCAATTCATTTATTCTCTCGCCTGTTGTATCCAATAAACATGCATCCAAAGTTATGCTACTACAACATAGTAGGTTTTAATTGGCAACTAGTAGGGCTTCATGCGATGCACGAGAAAATCAAAATGTTGATTAATTTTAGTAATTGATAATTTGAAACATATTAGAGATTTTTTAGTTTTACCATAGGTTAAAATATAGTGAAGGCTTAAAAATTGTTTCTCTATGGGGTTATATAAATGGGGGTGATCATCCCTGAACCCATAGAGCCTCCCAACCCTAGTGAAAGCTAGATTTGATCCTAAGTCTCTACTAAACCAATAGGAGACCTTACCAATTAATCAATTAACACTTTGGCATAGAATGTTTAAAACTAAATTAATAAAAATATTTATTTATAATTTATTGTTGTTTGCACAACACAAAATAAAAAATAGAAAGAAAAATTTGTATATCTTAAAAATCCATAATACAAATATTGATATAAATAAATCACTTGTCAAAAATTTATGAATTGATATGGATAAAATTTTCAAAAATTATTGATATGAATAAATTAATTTTCAAATATTTGAATTTATGAATAATTAATTACTGATAATATAAAAATTTCAGTAATTTAGATTTTTAAATTAACTTTCACTAAATTAAATTACCAAAAACATGAAAATTGGTTAATGGAAATCACTAAATTAATAATTACCAAATATAAATGATCAATATTCCCCTAATTTTAACAATAGTCTTGTAAACTTTGGCAACTTAGCAAATATCCTATTTTTGGGGGCATTTGAGCAAATGGAGTTGCAAAAGAAAGACCTCATTCTGGCTGAGGTGCCCTTGGTCAGCTTTAGAGGAGAGGTGGTGTGGCTTCTCAGAAGAATAAACCTGTCAATGACAACAAGGTTCATGCAAAAAAAGGTTAGGTTTAACCATGACTTCCTAGTGGTATCTACGATGTCGCCCTACAATGCTATTTTAGGTCGTCCTATTCCGCATGCTTTGAGAGTGGTGGTATCAATGTACCACCTTGCGATGAAGTTCCCCTTTGATTACAGAGTAGGAGTGGTATGCAGAGACCAGCTCAAATCTCGCAAATGCTATGTGGTGGCCTTAAAAGGCAAAGGGAAGCAAGATGTAGAGATAAACCTAGAGCCACTCCTAGAGAACAACAAGAAAAGAGCTCGCCCTATGAGGACAACGTCCAAGTGTCAGTCTCAGACATCAACCCCAGAAAATGATATAGATCGGCTTGTAGCTTGACGAACCACTATGCTCTAAATTGGTAAGATTTTTAATTTCTAATTTAAATGTTTTTGCCTAGTCAGCTATCAACATGCCCAACATAGACTCCTGTGTTATTACTCATAAACTAAATATTGACCCTTAGTTAGACCAATTAGATAGAGGAAAAGGAACTTTTCCTAGGAGAGGTGGAGAATAATTGACGAGGAGGTCGGGAAACTCCTTGCAGTAAACTTCATTAAAGAGGTTGAATACCCAAACTAGAATGCGAATGTAGTGCTCGTGGAGAAGGCAAATGGGAAATGACGCATCTGCATTGAATACACCGACCTAAAACAAAGTTTGCCCAAAGAATAGCTTCTCACTCCCCAAGATAGATCGGCTAGTAGATGCGACCTCGGGGTTCGAGTTGTTAAGCTTCATGGTTGCCTATTCTAGTTACAACCAAATCCAAAAGGATCCAGTCAACCAAGAGAAAACCACTTTTGTAACTGAAACAGGCTTGTATTGTTATAAGATCATG